GTGAACCCAGTGCCTCCCATATAATATGTGTGTGTGTGTATACACACACACACACATATTGTGGGTGAGTCTTTATTTTTATTTATTTATATGTAGCGCTGAGAATTGAACCCAGTGCCTCCCCCATGCTAGGAAAGCACTCTGACATTGAGCCACAACTCCAACCCCTGTGATCCTTCTTTAAGTTTCCATCAGTGGGATTAGATATATTGTTGGTGTCCTGCATTGGTTGAATGAATGACTGAATGAATTGGCCTTGCTCAGTGTCTTAATAGAGGTACAGAAAAATTGATTTGGGGTTTCTAAGGAGTAGAAATTAATTCTGGTTGGAGGTTTGGGATTGGATCAACAAAAAATATTGAGCCCTGACAGTGATTTGGCACTGGGTATTTTGGTGCCTTTTATCCTATTCAGTCCTCACAACAACCCTGTGAAGGTGGATGGCTGCCCATGTCTCATAGTGAGACACAGTCTGAGATGACACATCACAAGAGACAGAAATGGCCAAGTTGGAGAGACTTTGGAGCACAATCCTGAATACTTAAAATAAGTCAAAACACAGAAATAAGGAAAAGCCTTCCTAGGGCACAGCCTAAGCAAAGGCCTAGAAACTTAAGATGCAGAGGCTGTGTTTCTATAGAAGAGATCTAGTTGGTCCTGTGGTTAGAACAAAAGTGTGCTGTGTGTGATCCTGGGCAACTATGGAAATTCCCTGAGCTTCATTTTCCCCCTCTGTAAAACAAGTCAGTAAGGTGGAGTCTGCTGCACCTCCTGGGGAGGGAGTGTGGCATGGAGGAAGGCAGGGGCAGTTTCAAGGTTCCTCTCTACTTTTTAGGAGTTCAGTTTCAAGGCTTCCCCTGGAGGGAATCAGAAGGGGTCCTACCTAGAGAACAGAGAGGCAGGCAAAACCAACAGAATATTCCCTCAATGGTGCAGAGCTCCTTAGGTGGCCTGTGGTAGTGGAACTCTGTCCCCTAGGAGCTACATTTATTGCCTGTGACTCCCCTGGTCTCCCCTCTGCTTGGTATTATTAGATTTCCAGCTAACTTGGCTGTCCAGTGCACAGCTCTGATGGGGGCAGCAGATGATAGAGGCTAAGGGCCAGCCCCATGTCTTATTTGACACCCCCTATTGGCCAGAGAGGTTATTATCCACATTTTGCAGAGCAAGAAACTGACAATGAGTCTAAGTGCCTGGACAGGGTCACAGTGAGTCAGGGTTGAATGGGATGGAGTTGGGACAGAGAGGTGGGTGAGCACATTTCTTGACTTTGGCCTACCTCCCCCTTCCCCCAGCTATGGAGATATGGTGCCCAGCACCATTGCTGGCAAGATTTTTGGGTCCATCTGCTCACTCAGTGGTGTCTTGGTCATTGCCCTGCCTGTGCCAGTAATTGTGTCCAACTTTAGCCGCATCTACCACCAGAACCAACGTGCTGACAAGCGCCGAGCGCAGCAGGTAACTGCATCTTGCATCTGAGCATCTCTTATTCTTCACACCTCAATCTGGACTACACTTGGACTTACCCACCTGGCCCTTTGTTTCCTTTTCTTTTTGTAGAAGGTGCGCTTGGCAAGGATCCGGTTGGCAAAGAGTGGAACCACCAACGCCTTCCTGCAGTACAAGCAGAACGGGGGACTTGAGGTGGGTAGGGGCCCAGATTGGATTTATGGGTAAGAAATGATGTGCAGAGGGAGGTGCTGACCTTCTCTCTCTGCTCTGCCCACCCCAGGACAGCGGCAGTGGGGAGGGACAGGCGCTGTGTATCAGGAACCGTTCTGCTTTTGAGCAGCAACATCACCATTTGCTACACTGTCTAGAGAAGACAACGGTGAGGCCTAATGAGAAGTGGTATGTAGGAAGGAGGGGGTCCCTCTGCCACCAAGTCAGTCCCCTTCCTGGGATGGGAGGTTTCTACTAATTGTAGAAATCACATGGAACTTCCTGGGAAAGGCTGAGCAAGGGAAGGGAAGAGAATGATTTCCATAAAGGAGAGAACAGCCTGAGCAATAGCCTGGGATTGGGAATAGCTCCCATGGGGTGTCCTGTGACTCTGCCTCCTTTCTCCCTACAGTGCCATGAGTTCACAGATGAACTGACATTTAGTGAGGCTCTGGGAGCAGTCTCGTTGGGTGGCCGCACCAGCCGTAGCACCTCTGTGTCCTCCCAACCAGTGGGGCCTGGCAGCCTGCTATCATCTTGTTGCCCACGCAGGGCCAAGCGCCGTGCCATCCGCCTTGCCAACTCCACTGCCTCAGTTAGTCGCGGCAGCATGCAGGAGCTGGATACGCTGGCAGGGCTGCGGAGGAGCCCTGCCTCTCAGAGGTAAGCACCCATCCCCTGGCCACAGCTGGTGAAGTGTAGAGTTTGGGCCAGTGGGTTTGAGATTTCTTTACTCAAGGTCTACCAAATCAGGCTCAAACACAAACTCTTCCATGTGGGGATCTTGGGCTTAATTTTTCTGGAACTCCTCATTCTTCATTACATCTTTCAAATATTTATTGAGCAGCCAGACATGGCAGTGGCACATGCCTGTCCTCCCAGCCACTTGAGAGGCTGAGGAAGGAGGATGGGGAGTTCAAAGCCAGCCTCAGCAATTTTGGGAGGCCCTAAGGAACTTAGTGAGACTCTGTCTTTAAATAAAAGGGGCTAGAGATGTTGCTCAGTAGTTAAGTGCCCCTGGGGTCAATCCCTGGTACTATTAAAAAAAGGACTAAGGATGTAGCTCAGTGGAGTCAGTCCCCAGCACCAAAGAAAAAGAAAAAAAGGGACTGGGTATATAGCTCAGTGGTAGAGTACTTGCTTAACATGCTCAAATCTCTGGGTTCAATCTCCAGCACTGAAAAAAAAAGTAAAAATAAATCTTTGTCTTGAGCTCAGGGTGTGGCTCAGAGGTAGAGTATTTACTTAAAATACAGGAGTCCTTGGGTTACATCCCAAGCACTGTGAAAAAATTTTGCCCTTTGGGAACTTACATTCTATTGTGAGATATTTATAAAAATACAAATCACATAGTGTGTCAAATATGTAAACATCAAGGGAAAAATAAATCATGGATGCCATCTAGAGAGTGCAGAGCAGCAGTAATGAAGTTTGTTTTTTAAAAATGTATTATTATTGTTGTTGTTGTTATTAGTATTATTACTACAGTAATCAGGATTGAACCCAGGGTCTCACACTTGTCAGACAAGTGCTCTACCACAGCCTCCCCCCCACCCGCTGTCTGATGCATTTTTTTTTTCCCTTGGTTTCTTTAGGTGATATCAGGGATTGAACTCAGGGGCACTTAACCACTGAGCCACATCCCAAGCCTTTTTTTTTTTCACTTTTTATTTTGAGACAGGGTCTCACTAGGTTGCATATTGCCTCACTCAATTGCTAAGGCTAGCTTTGAACCAGCAATCCTCTTGTCCCAGAGCCACTGGGATTAGAGGCTTGCTTCACCACACCTGGCTGATGCAGTTTCAATAATGTGGTCAAGGAAGGCTTTACTAAGATGGCATCTGTGCCAAGGCCTGAAGGAAATGAGGGAATGAGCCATGCAGATATCTACAGGAAGAGCTTTCTAGGCAGACAAACAGCCCATGTGAACGCTGCAAGGAAGCTACTGTAGGTGGAGTGAATAAGGGACAGAATGGGAGGTTGGCAAGTCAGAAAGGAATGAAGACATGGTTATATAGATTCTAGCGTAGACTCCTGCAAGGACTTTGGCATAAGAATAAGAAAAAATACTCATATGGGCTGGGGGTGTAACTCAATGGTAGAGTGTGTGCTTAGCATGCACAAGGCCCTAGGTTTAATTCCCAGCACCACACATCAAAAAAGTGTGTGTGTGTGTGTATGCACGCACACGTGCTCCAGCTTGTGTGTGTGCACTCATTATGATCCATGCACTACTCTGAATACTTTGTATCATTTATTCTCAATTCTCATTGAATCTCCACAACCCCTCAAAGTAGGGAATATTGTTATTTCCATGCTACAGATGGGAGTTTCAGTATGGTAAAGGGGCTCAGGACTTGAATCCAGGACCGACTCCAGAGCCCTTCCTCTCCACCACCATAATTAAGGATGCAGGGGAACACTTAGCTCAGAGACAGTCAGTGTTCAATAAATGCCACAATAGATATGGCAATTAATCAAGATGACTTTTTTAAGAGCCTTCCATCTTCCTCATCCCTGTCCACAGCCGCTCAAGCCTCAATGCCAAGCCCCATGACAGCCTTGACCTGAACTGTGACAGCCGGGACTTTGTGGCCGCCATTATCAGTATCCCCACCCCTCCTGCCAATACACCAGATGAGAGCCAACCTTCCTCCCCTGGTGGTGGTGGCGGCAGGGCCAGCAGTACCCTCAGGAACTCCAGCGTGGATACCCCCTGCCTCCTCCCTGAGACTGTCAAGATTTCTTCCCTGTGAAGTATGGGCCTGCTCATTCAGAGGGCCCTATTTTTTCTTGGGGGAGTCCTTTCCAAAGCCATATTTTGGGGAGGCAGAGAGGGACAGGCCTGGGGACCCCTTCTGAGAACTATGCAATTAGGTTTTATGGAATGGCCCACTTGGGAATGGGAAACTTGCCCTCTCCCAGTCTTCTTGGTGGGAGCACTGGGCTTCCACAGGCCTCCAGCCTCCTTCCTCTAACACACACTGGGACCGGCCCCTCTCCTCTAGCTGGTCTCCTGCATGCTCCTCCCCATGGGTCTTTGGAGGTAGGTAAAGTTCCTGTCTTAATATCTGAGCTCTGGCTTGACAAAGATTTGAGATTTCATCTTCTCTCTGACTGGTCTGTAGAGGTTTGGGGGTTCAGAGAAGGAAACCCTCACTCCTGATCTGACCTCTAGGAGAGGTCCTTTCTCTCTACCAGGCCCAACAGTTCCCCAATTCTGAAGCTTGGAATGTAACCATGGACTTTGTGAGCTGTGGCCTCAGCAGTGACCTGTCACCCCCTGGCCCCCGGTTGAGGGGTCAGGCTGCCTCTCCCAACATACAGATAGCACAAACACCACTGCAACTTCCCTGGCTGCTGGAAATGGGTCCCCTGCCATCCTGTCCTCTGTTGGGTCCTCAGCAAATTCTAGCAATAGCAGCTGCTGCCATGATGATATGCAAAGCCTCTTACCAGTTTGCTGCAGCATTTACATCTGTCCTGATCAGATGGGCCACCTCTAACTAGTACTCCTCTCTTCTCTGGTTTGATTCCTTCCTGGGTTGGGCTAAAGTCTGGACTGGCCGAGATAAGAACCCAGCAGCTAGCAAGAGCTGGGCTGCATTTGGTGATCATGGACCAATTCCATGTTCTTGGGGAGGAGTCCAGAAGCATCAGGGGCTGAGACCTGGGTTGTTCTGAACTCTGGGAGGTGTAGGAGGCAGGAGGAAATTCCTAACCACCTCCTCCTCCCTCGTAACTCCTTTTCATATATTCTTCTCTCTTTTCCCTCTTGGGTCATCTTCCAGAACTCTGCTCTCAGGCTGAAATCTGGCATCATCTCAGGTTCCCTGTCCCCAGTACTGTCCCCGTGGAGCTGGTGGCTGACAAAGATGTAGTTTCCATCAGTCAATAAAACCTGAGAGGAGAAACGAAGACTGAACACTTCCTAACTCTGTGGGTTTGGGGGCTGGGTTGGAATGGGGGGTTGAAACCACTCTGATCTTACTTCCTTGCAAAAGTGGAAGGGCTGGTGTGGGTAAAGGTGTGGGAGGTGAATGGCTGGTGATAAAGTCTGGAAGATGAAGATCTAGAAGAAATGAGAGAGGGTGGTTTGAAGAGTAAATCTACAGCCAGTGGGAACAGGCCAGGGAGTCCTAAGACATTGTCCTTGGCCATCTTCTGCTCCAGCTCCCTCATTCACAGATGGGGAAAACACAATTCATGTCAGCACAAAGTGGACTTAACATCCTGGCAGCAAACAACATTAAATTTAACCCTAATAAAAGCATCTCTCAGCTTGGCAAATTTCCCTTCCTTGTGGGCATTTCCTGCACTCTTTTTTTTAATATACTGATGGACCTTTATTTATTTATTTATATGTGGTGCTGAGAGTCGAACCCAGTGCCTCACACATGCTAGGAAAGTGCTCTACCACTAAGCCACAACTCCAGCCCTCCTGCACTCACTCTTCTGGGCTACTGGCTCCACTAGAGTAGTGTGACTGAGCTCCACAGAGCACCAAGAAGACAGACCTTATATTCAGGTCAATGTGTTCCAATCCCTGGATGAGAGAATCACTTACTTTCTCTTGTGCCAGGTTGCTAATCTGTGAAATAGAGATAACAATTCATTTATTCACCAAATATTGATTAACTTCTCATCATGTGCCAGCCCTAGGGTGCAAAGATGGACAAAACAGACATTGTCTCTGATGTATAGAGTTGAACGTGTAAGAGAGACAATTAGGCAATTAAAACAGTGTGATAGAACTAAGATGAATGTATTATAGAAGCATGTAGACAGCAAGGGAAAATAATCTGGCCAGCAAACAAGGAAGAAGTTGGAGTCAGCCAGGCAAAAGATGAAAGGCTGGACATGTAGGCTGAGGAACAGCATGTGCAATGACCTGGAGGTTAGAGTGCAAGCTTGGAGGCTTCAGGGAACTGAAAATAGTTGTCTGGCTGGAGAGGGGAAGAAGGAGGGAGAAAAAAAGCCAGATAGATCACTATGGGCCTTCAAAGCTAGGAGACAGATTTGAGAGGATGATGGGGACTCCTGAAAGTGTAGAAATAGGAAAGTCCTGATGAGGTTTGTGTTTTAGAAAGATCATTGTGTCTGTGGATGGTGAATTACAGAGAATTCTCTAATTGAGAAAGAACAGTGAGGAGGCTTTTGTGGTGATAGGGAAGGGTGGCTTGGATAAGAGTTATGGGAGCAGAATTGGAGCATAAGAAATTGGAAGGTAAAATGGGCAGGATTTGGGATTAATAGGCTTGTGAGTGTTAGAGAAGAGGGAGTGGTCACGGTTGACTCCTACCTCTTGGGCTTAGGCAATGGCTGGCTAAGGGTGATGTTTTCTGTCAAATGGACCATCAAAGCTGTTAATGTACAGTGCCAGGCACATGGTAACTGGCAATTGGCTGCAAATAAATATTATGAGTTCAGTTTCTTTTTTCTGCCCCCCCCCCATTTTGGTACCAGGGATTGAACCCAAGGGCACTTAACCACTGAGCCACATCCTAAGCCCTTTTTTTGAGACAGGGTCTCATTAGTTTGTTTACAGCCTCACTAAGTTGCTTAGGTTGACTTTGAACATGTGATCCTCCTGACTCAGCCTCCAAAGCTGCTGTGATTACAGGCATGCACTACCATGCCTGATTTCAGATTCTTTTCCTTTTTCTTTCTTTCTTTCTTTTTTTGATGGATCTTGCTAAGTTGCTCAGCCTGGCCTCAAACTTGGGATTCCTCCTGCCTCAGCCTCTTGAGTAGTCAGGATTACAAGCATGTGTCACCATGCCTGGCTATGAATTCAGTTTTATTTTTAATTTTATTAGTATTATTATTTGTGGTACTGGGGATTCAACCAGAACCAGGGCCACTTTACCACAGAACTTCATCTCCAGCCCATTTAAAAAAAATTCTTTGAGACAGAGTCTCCATTGCTAAGGGTCTTGCTAAATCTTCAAACTTGTGATCCTTCACCTCATCCTCCTGAGTCTCTGGGATTTCAGGCATGTGCCACCACACCTGGCATGAATTCAGTTTTAGATGGGTAGTAGAAAGTGGGATATTGGGGTCTGGAGTGAAATGACCATGAGAAGATTCAATGTAATGTGCACAGGCATTTGGGACAAGGCCCTAAACACAACAGTCCCAGTAAATGTAAGTCCCCTCTTCCCATTAAGTCTCATGAGCAGAAAACACCACTAGGGCCCAGTTATTACTGCCACCTTTGTGGGGAGAACTTCTGTTAAAGTCAACACCTGAAGGAAGAAGGTTAGGTGGTACTCAGAAAAGGTTTAGGATGGTTTTACTTTAAATCAGGTGTGTGGCTTTGCTCTTAAGAATGGCAGGGAGCCCTCACCTCTCACAATGCCTTTCTTAGTTTATAAACTCATTTGAATAATTCCATAACTATTTCCTAAGGTAGTCTGGGAAGACATTTCCAACTTTTCAGATGGGTAATCTCAAAAGACAATGAATTTGCACGATGTCATACTGTTCATAATGGACAATCTGTGCCTGGAACTAAGGTCTTCCTGACCCCAAAGCCAGGGATCCTCGCACCATGCAGACTTACTGAGCACTTTCTATATGTCAGGTACAACACCAAACCATTAACAAGCGTGAGTTTCTGATCTTAAATTGGAATTACTGTCATTTTTCTATTTCTATGAAGAAGTAGAAATTCAGAATGTAGTGGGTGTTAAATGAGTTGCCAAATATCAGACTGGTTACGATGAGCCAGAAGTGCTCTAGCCGCTCAACAGAAGGGATTTTGCAGTCCCACTGCGAGACGTTGGCCGGTGACAGAGCTGGTTCATAAATATTTTCCTAAGCAAACTCAATTTTGGGGGGGGACGGGAAGGGGGAAAGAGGGCTTTACCGCGCCTGCGCACCAGCCATAGGTGCGGAGAGGTCAACACCAGGGCGAGAGGGCGGAGGTGCCAGAGAAGGCGTCTGTTTCACAAACACCCACTGTCCCCACGGTGCACGCCTGTCCCAGGATTGGTCTGACGAGAGTGACTGCGTCTCTTAACCAATCACAGCAGGGCCCATCCTGTTGCCAGGGTGAAGTGACGCCCGCCTCTTCTGCGGAAGGAGACTTGCAGGTGGGTGGGACAGGAAGTGATGTTACAAGGGAATGCTAAGCTCTGGGAGTGTTGATATTTTCCAGTCAGTCCGGCCGACTGCGTTCAAGTTGGAAGCCTGGAGGGGAGGCGCTTTTGTGCGCAGGACAGGATACGTTGTTCTTTCGCAGTACCCACGCCTGCGCGTCAGAGCCTCGCGGAGAGAAGTGAAGAGCAGAACCAGATCAACAAGAAGAAAGGCTGGGAGAAAGGGTGCCGACTTTGAAATTTGAGACGGAGGGCACGGGAGGGCGAGCACAAGCTTCTGATTGGCCCGCGGGCGTCATCGAGGACCCACGCAGCTCCTTCGATTGGTTGGTGTCTGCAATTGTTGTGGCGGCGGCGGCGATTTTGCCCACGTAGTTCCGAGCAAGGGGCGGGGCTGCGCTCTGGCGCGCGTGCGCAGCGCCCCGGGGCCCCACCCGGTAGTTCAAGAACCTGCGAGGGGGCGGGGCGAAGAGGTGCTTGTTTTGGTCCTGTTTCCTTTGAAGCAGAAGGCCAGAAGGAGCAGCAGTAAACTCGCTGGACTCGGAGAGAAGGCTGCGACAAACTTGCCGCCGTGCCTTCATCTTGGACTTCACATCCGGGTTCTCCGGGCGTGACTTGCGCACCGCCGACGGTTCTCGAACCGGTGCCGCGATCTCTTTATCCGGGTCTCGCTGTTCCCGTCGTGCTTCGCGCACTACAGGAGCCCCCTCATCCGGGTTCTCTCCCGGCGTGCCGCGCGCCGGGTTTGCTGGGGGGTACTCGGCGGTGCCGCCATGACTATTCTCCCCAAAAAGAAGCCGCCGCCTCCCGACGCCGACCCCGCCAACGAGCCGCCGCCGCCCGGGCCGCTGCCCCCGGCGCCGCGGCGCGGCGGGGGTGTGGGCGTGGGCGGCGGCGGCACCGGCGTGGGTGGCGGCGATCGTGACCGTGACTCGGGCGTCGTAGGGGCCCGTCCCCGGGCTTCACCACCACCTCAGGGCCCGCTACCGGGGCCTCCGGGCGCTCTTCACCGCTGGGCGCTGGCCGTGCCACCCGGCGCAGTGGCGGGCCCTCGGCCACAACAGTCCTCACCACCTCCTTGCGGGGGTCCAGGTGGTCCCGGCAGTGGCCCTGGTGACGCCCTGGGTGCATCAGCTACGGGGGTGGGCGCGGCGGGAGTGGTGGTGGGTGTGGGCGGTGCCGTGGGCGTGGGCAGCTGCTGCTCCGGGCCTGGGCACAGCAAGCGGCGGCGTCAAGCTCCTGGGGTTGGCGCGGTTGGCGGGGGCAGTCCGGAGCGTGAAGAGGTCGGCGCAGGCTACAACAGTGAGGACGAATATGAAGCAGCTGCTGCACGCATCGAAGCCATGGATCCTGCTACCGTCGAGCAGGTAAGGACTGGATGGTGAGGGTGGGCACATATGTCATATCAGACCCCTAAACTGTGAAGTGACCAAGGGACCTAGGTTCTCTTCCGGGGTCTGACGTTCTTCTCTGGTGGAAGAGGCACGAAAGGCCCTCTTCCCTTTCCCCCAAGCATTTGAGTTAGAGGCCCTAGATAAAGTGT